TCGGCAACTGCCTTCGTGATAAGATCCCGCCATGCAGGCCGATCAACCGCCTTCGATTTCCATGACATGCAATCAAGATTAGAACGTGAGAGGCTCACTTTGATCATGTCCTGGTAACGTAACTTTGGTTTCGCCGCATGCCGCTTCCCAATCCTTAGATGACCATAAAATAATTGTATCGGAATCGGTGTCGAATCCATACGTCACACATGACCGAGCCACCTCAGGTGTCTCAGCAATAGTATGCAGTCCACTGCACACATTTTACTTCGGTGTACGCAACTCTGTTGCACCAACCGGTGCGTAAAATCCGTCGCAAACAATGTTGCTGGAACCGCTCGAGATATCGCACATCCCGACGGTACACCGTCCACGTTTCACTGCCGTATAGGAGAACGGACAGTAGCATGGATTTGTACACCATCAGCTTCGTGCCAATGGTAAGCTGATGGTTGTTCCACACTCGGTACTCAAGCTTCCCGAATGCTGCCGCTGCCTTCGACACGCAAATACGCAGCTCAACGTGTAGCTGCTGATCAGTCGACATCACACTCCCAAGGTATCTGAAACGGGATGTGGTTTCCAATACTTCAGCACCAATGCTGATTCGCGGCAATATTGAAGATTGCACCTCCGGTGAAGGCTAAAAGAGACAGACAGTTTTGCTTGTGTTGATGGTGAGGCCAAATTTTGCAGCTGTCAAAGCCAGAGCACTGGTCATGTGCTGCAACTCATCCGCACTGTGTGAAAACAATGCACAGTCGTCAGCAAACATCAACATACGGATAGTTGTCTCACAGACTACAGTTCTCGCACCGAAACGACAGATGTTCAGCAACCCACCATCAATACGGTGTTCCACACGAACACCGTAAGCACAAGCCGCATCAAAAGCACAAGACAACATTGCATGAAGATAGATATTAAACAGGGCAGGAGCTAAGACACAGCCTTGCTTCACACCAGAGACAACTGCAAAGTCATCCGAGGTCTCTCCACTCAGCTGCACCCTCGCTCGCTTACCACTGTGCAGACATTCAATTAAACTTACAAACTTACGCGGGCAACCAAACTTACCCAACATTAGCCACAATGCCTCGCTTTTCACCGTATCAAATGCCTTGGTGAAATCAACAAAAGGCGAGTGCAATGGCTGGTGTCGTTCTCTGCACTTCTCTTGCAACTGACGAGCCGCAAACACCATATCTATAGTGCTGGGACCCGGACGGAATCCACACTGCTCTTCCGCCACGTTAGGTTCCACAACGTGACTGACGAGACGGTTGAGCAGGATTCGGGCAATCACCTTGCCCACACAACTCAGCAAGTTGATGCCACGATAATTCGTGCAGCATTGCTTGCTACCTTTGCTCTTGTACAGTGATAGCACAAGGGCATCCTTCAGCTCAGGAGGCACCTCCTCTTCAATCCACACGCGTTGCATGAAGTAGTGCAGTCCAGTCACCAACTCGGGTCCGCCGTGTTTCAATACTTCAGGCGGGATCCCGCTGTGCAGCTGAGCAAGTGCTCTCTGCGTCTCATTCCATGTCGTCGTGTCCGCCAGATTCGCCTTCACATCGTGCTGCTTCAGGCCGTTCAAAGTAGGCCAGTCGATCTCTGAACGGTTGTTCAAGAGACAGTCGAAGTGTTTCCGCAGATCTGCCATCTGTGTGCAGGTAGCGCCTGAACTACCATCGAGCAGTGTCCACAGAGGCTCCAATCTCGGTCCAGACACCGCCTTCAAGGAGTCAAAGAATTCCTTGTGTTGGCGGCGTTCGGCGTAGCATTCCATCTGCTTCGCCTTCTC